ATTTTTTTATTTTTACGTTTGCTTCATTATTTGTACAATAACAACAAAACATTTATTCTACTAAGTGGGTCAGCTACATGAATCCTTTTTCTCCATTGTGTCATATTTAGTGTCATAATTTCCTTTAATTCTAATAAATTAAGATTTCATATTTAGTGTCATAATTTCCTTTAATTCTAATAAATTAAGATCATTTTTTATACAATATGCCCAAGTCTTCCTATTTCTACCTCTGTCTTTCTTTACGTAAGTCGATTCTAAAACATTTACTTTTCTAATCAGATCATCAGATGGTCGATATTTAATGTGACCAAACTATCTAAGACAACTCTATCTAATTTTGTCTGTCATTGGAGCTACACCAACCATATCACGAATATATTCGTTTCACATTTTGTCTCTAAGTGTGAAGCCACTCATCTACCTAACATTCTAATCGGATCATCAAATGCTTGATGTGATTGTTTTCTAGTTGGATCCTTGGGATCCAAAAGGTCAAGGGCATGCGTGGAGTTTGGTCCTAAACGCTTCAGTATATTAAGTTATCAAGTTTAAAGTGGTCAATAGATTAACCCTCAACATATTTATCATTGTATCATTTGTTGTTAATGATTTTGGTGTTGACTGACATAAGTGAGTGTTAAATTACGATTATTTTTCTGTGGATGAGTAGCGTCTAAAGATTCCCCCTGGACATTACCATGATGAGGGTAATTTTAAAAGGTGTAGCATGTTCTAGTCTTTAGGACTAGTATGATGCTAATGCAAACTTCTTTGGAGGTAAGGAATATTCTAAAGTGCAAGAACAATCTTAATCAAGAAGATATAGTGCTCCAGCATTCAAAACTTGTATAATTCTAATCTAAACATCTTTAGGAGGTGTTTGGTGGCATAATTTTAACAGGATTTAGGCTGGATTTAATGTAAATTCAGCCAAACACGAAAAAATGAAAAAATTAAATCTGACCTTCCAATAAATACATTTTTCTCTCCCTTCTGTTTATTTTTGGATGTAAATCGGGATTTGTTAAATCCAACCATTTGGTAAATTTAACGGATTTAACTTGAGAAGAAAGTCATGGCTATAAGAAGCTGAAATAAAATGTTAAACATGTCTACCTAATTTTTTGGATTTAACCTCAACTGAACTAAACACTATTTTGGATTTAACAGTATATCCAAATTTACTGGATTTACTAAATCTTAATGTAAATCTTGAGTGCCGCCAAACATTCCCTTAGATTATTGAATAGCCTTGTGTTTAAGGATAACCTGAACCGTGGGGGTAAAATCAATGCATTCTTTAGGGTTAATATATGTTAAACCCTAATTTCTATAGAGAGAGAATTTCCTCTTGAGGTAATAATAAAGTTAACCATATGAGCATATTGTCTGAGCATTTAGGACTAATGGTATGTTAATCCACAGCTTCTTTGGAGGTTAGGAATATTGCCAAGTTTAAGGATAAAATTAAACCATGTAGATGTAATGCCATAGCCTTCATGATTAGTGTCATGCTAAATTAAACTTTCTGAGATATGTAATATCCTCGGATGTAAGGAATCTAAGCCATGTAAATGTTATACTTCAGCATTCAGAACTAGCAATTTGTTGACTTGGAGTACTCAAAAGGTAAAGGATATCCTAAACATTTTTGCCTTTGCCCAAGTTCTTCAAGGTTAGTTCTATTTTAACGTTGACTTCTCCCAGGGTATGGAATATCGTATATACCAAGGATAACTTAAACCATGTAGTCATATTACTACTATAGTCAAAGCTAGCGTTGTATTGTCCCAAACTTATCAAAAGGTATGGAATATCGAGGGTGTCCTAAACCATATTGGTGTATTCTATGAGCATTCGGGTATAGTACTAGATTATCTTGGACATCTTGGGAGTTATGAAATATCCTCACATATGGGGATAATCTAGAACATGTTGGTTTGTTGCCTAACCTTTGAGGACTAGTGCTATATTAAGTTGAATTTCGCTCAAGGAATATATTGATGTGTAATTGTAACTTGAAGCAGGTTATTGCTTGAGAATTCAGGGCCAATACTATGCTAACCCAAACTATTGTTTTAATGCTAGGAATATTCTAATGTGTAAGGACAACTGAAAATTTTCACTTGTATTGCTTGAGCACTCAGTACTAGTACTGCGTTAGCTCAAATTTCTCCAGAGGTAAGAAATATTTTGATTTGTAAGGATAAACTAAATTATATATGTATTTAAGCACTGTAACCTAAGGAAGAAGATGCACCACTAAATTATATTAAGAGTGAACCACAAGTGGACAAGGATATGGCGTCCCTAGGAAAATACAGGATTGCTGAACAAAAGATATGGAAAGAGTTGCTAGGGTCTAGTTCAATGTAACTGGATTAAAAAAATGAAAAATTTTTATGAGGATGATTTTACACATTTTTTTTTTCAATCATTGTCAATCTAATCATACTTGGAATTGCTTGGCTCAAATTCTCTTCATTTTGAAGTTTGGAAATACGTTTAGGGACTAGTAGGCTAAAGTCATGTTAGACTTCACCAAACATCATGAGCCTATTAAAGGACAAACTGAATATATTGGCTTTTTCGACTAATTTGAGAGGCCCACCATTTATGAGCTCTCTTGATGAGGATAAAATATTATGTGTGGACGAGCTAGGTGCGGATTGGTGTGGATTGGTCCTATTGGGGTGGTATTTAAGAAAATGCCACCCTAATACCACTCCAATACCATTGACTCGCACATGCGGATACCACACTTAATATTTGCTCCTCGATGACTTCATTTAAGCATAATGACCATTCCCGTGACTTGGGAAAGTCTCGATGTTTGAACTTTTATTGAAATGACAATAGTTTTGTGAATGTTCTTTAAAAGCATCTTCATGGTATATTTTTACGAACTTACATCTCAAACTTTATGCTAGAGTTTCACTACCTTAAAAAATATATTCTGATGGTGATGATGTCGCTCATGCTGACATCTTGCAACAGTCCAGCAAAACAGTTATGACGAGTTCAAATTTAGTAGGACTTGCTTGTTGTCTTATTGAAATAATTGTAAAATGTAGAACATATTAATCTTTTGTTGAATGAAATCCCATTTTTATAAAATCAACTTGCAATATTTAATCATCATTTCTATCTTTATTCTTTTGTTAAAGCCAGAGAAATTATTTGAGGCTTATAATTTTTATCTTAATCTAAATTTGCAATAAATCTATTAATTGGTTCACGAGTATTTCTATCAAATGAAAAGAAATAATTTTTACTAATTGAATCATCTTGTTGAGAGCCAATAATAAAAACATTAAGAAACAAAACTATGAAAAATGAAAATAAATTATCAATCTTGGAAGAAAAAAATTTAAAAAAAAGTTTAGTAAAAAATTTTCGAAATTGTAATAAATAAAAGAAACTTAAAACCTTAAAGGAAATTGTTTGATAGAAAATTCAATAAAAATATGAGTAAAAAGTGTAAATGGAAATAAAACATCTAAAACGAATTAAGAAATAAAATTAAGAAAGATTTAAAGAAATATGAAAGCTAAAAAATTCGTAAAAATAAATTTAAAATGGTAAAAAAAGAATGGAAATTAAAGTATTCAAAGGCAAAAAAACAAAATCGTAAAAGAAAAAAAAGTTATCCTAAAACCATCATTTAGGAACATGTGCTCAAAGCTCCTCCCCTATGCTCATACACTCTCCCTCTTACTCGCAGTCCTTTCGATTGCGTGATCCTCTCACAACTTAAGCAACACCTATGTCGTTCCATCTCTGGCTTGACCCTAAACTTGCACCATTGCTTGACTAAGCTAAAAATGGAAAAGTACAAGGCAAAAAACAATATTGAGTAAGCTGTATATTGCACCATAATGCAGCAATTTTTTTTATGTGTTAATTTGAGCCGTTCTCCTCAATAGCATGCGGAATGAAGTTTTGAGGCATGTCTTGACCATTTTTTTTATTCCATGAAATTGGAGAAGAATTGAAAATAGGTTAAGACTTATTACAAAGATATCTCATATTCAATTTGGATTTATGTCGGGCAGGTCTACTATGGAAGCTATACATTTATTGAGAGGTTTGATTGAGGAGGTTAGAGATAATAAGGAGGATCTAGATATGATTTTTATTGATTTAGAAAAAGCTTACGATAAGGTTCCAAGAGATATCCTTTGGAGAGTTCTTGAGAGGAAAGGTGTTGATATGACTTATATTCAAGTCATTAAAGATATGCATACAAGAAAATGTTACATATGTGCGAACAGAAGGAGGATTGATCAAATATTTTCCTATTTTTGTTGGCTTTAAGACCATATCTTTTTTTACTTTAGTTATGGATGGTCTTACTGGACACTTACATAAGGATGTACCTTGGCGTATGCTTTTTGCTGATGATATCGTTCTCGTGGATAAAATGAGAGAAAATGCTCAAGAAAAACTTGAATTATAGAGGTCTACTTGGGAGTCTAAAGGCCTTTGTTTGAGTAGAACTAAAATTGAATACATGTAAAATAGTAGAACTAAAATTGAATACATGGAATTTAATTTTAGTAGTAGTAGCTCTAGTGACAGAATTGTAACTATGGGTGATCAAATTATTAAAAGGTGTGAATGCCCTAGGGTTCAATTCTCTTGACCTAATTGCTCTTGAACAAACATAAAATTTGATGATGATGATGATGATGATGATGATGATGATGATGGTATAATTTCCCTAGGGTTAACTTATTTGATGGTGTGGGGATATGGTGTGTTGTGGAATGAAAAAGTAGGCTTCTTTGTTAGTAAATTATGACATTCCAAATGTTTGTTCAATTCTCTTGCTTTAGAGAGTGTTTTCCTGTTTAACACTTTTGGGATAATTATTTCTTCTCTCTCTGTTCCCCTAATCTTATGTATTTTTTTTTAAATTTTTATATCATGTTTGTCTTTCATTCTTGGGCTGTACCGGAATTCAGATTTTTGAAAATTGATTTTTTTTTTTGCAGATGAGCACTATTTGGGCAGAAACAGCTGATAATGCTAGATCCGCTGCAAGAAGCTTTGTACTTGGTGGTCTTTCTGAAAAATTTTATGGGTTGGCCGATTTCTGGGTTGTGGATCGAATAAATGTATGCTCGCATGAATGCATATTCCCATATTTTTTTTTTCTCATTTTATTTTTTCTTGACATGTCAACTATAACGTTGCTTTCTTCACCAGGAAATAGATCAGGACGCCCTGCATGTTCTTAGCAAATGCTATGAACGAGCTAAGAAAGTATAAATTTAATTCCACATATTGCTTTTAGAAATAAAGAAGCTGAGGGTAACTAAATTTTTTCTCATACGTCGCTTTGTTTTTGATTTTAGATTTTGGAGCAGAATAGAACCCTGACGGACAAGCTTGTTGACGAGCTTGTGTGGAAGAAAAACCTCACTAAGCAGGAATTCTTTCACCTGGTTGAAGAAAATGGCCAGCTTGAGCCCTACCCACCTACTATTATTGATATTTGGAACGCAAAGAGAGTACAGTTTCAAGAAATGATGATGAGCCGAAAATGATCATCTCACAAGGGGTTATGAAAATTTTGTTCATTTGTTTCTATATTCACCGTTGTTCTTTCATTGCTGGCTTATAAATAAAATCATTTAGTATTTCTTGATATTTATTTCTTATTATTTTTTCCCAATCATTTATTCATTTTTACATCTGTTGATCCGATTAGGAGAGCAGATGTTTTAGATTTGACTTTTGTTGAAAGGCAGGTAGACCTAAGAAGACTTGGGCTTATTGTATAAAAAATGATCTTAATTTACTAGAACTAAATGAGAATATGACACTAAATAGGACGTAATAGAGAAAAATGATTATGTAGCAGACCCCACGTAGTGGGATTGAGGCTTTGTTGTTGTTGTTGTTGTATTTATTCATTTTTAAATCATTTGGCAATGCATTTTTTCGAACCTTAATATTTCAATCCCGCTTTCTATTCCAACTTTCATGCTTTTTCTGTGAAAGCTTTTCGATTCAGTCCATCTTTTATTCTCATTAAGACGTCATTACTCATCAGTATTTTGGTTACATTCTCGTGTTCAATCATGTAATTTTGTCACCCTGAATAGGCATAAATAGAAGATCCCTTTCGGAACTTGCAACTGATTATGCTATTTAAGTACCTTCTGGAGTCTATCCACAGTAGTATAAGCACATACCAGTGCCATAATTTCTTTATGAAGATTTACATATAGACCACTCAGTTCCTATAAAAGTACATCTATAACATCTAAACTTTAATTTTTATTTTTGCTATCTATCCTATGTATGGAAAGATGTGATTCACTTTTTTTAAATCAAAATAGTGATATTTTATGTGATATGAATGATTTGGGTTATATGAATGTAAAAATCATAATTTTGGTATTACATAAGTGGTATGTAAGTGCCCCTTTTTTTAATGGTGTTTAGTATGATATGAAGTTGAGAATTTTTTGGTAGTAGAAATTGTTGATATAATTTTTAAACAGTTTTATATTTAAATGATAATTATCTTAGATCATTCCGAGCATAATTTTGTTGACAAGAATTTCTGTATCTACTTAAAAAGAGTAAAAGCCAAAAATAATACTCTTACTATTAAGAAGTGTCGAAGTTAGTTTCAGAGTTTTAGAATAGTCTAATTTAATCACTTCATTTCAAATTGGTCTTAAATTATATTTTTTACTAAATTTGGTGGTAGCCTATTTCAATGAGGATTTGTAATTATTTTAAATTTATGTAGGTTATGTATATAAATTATTTTTTATTTGTGATAAATCATAATTTTTAATTTACTTTTAACAATTGGTTCATTTTTCATCAGCTGATATTTTTAGTTGGATGATCGTCCGAATACATAATCTTTATGATCGATTTGGTGCAAGTTTTAATAGTTCGGGATTAAATTGGAGCATTCTAAATTTTTGGTATTAAATAAAACACTTTTTAATAGTCGAGGGATATTTTGGGCTTTTACTCTACTTAAAAATATTTGTAACATATTGATATTCAATCAAATTTCACATTACATTCATTCCAAAATAATTTTAATAGGTTCAAATTAAATCATGCTCAAATTTTTGTTAATGTTATCACGCTTTCTCATTTATATGTTGTCTATCATTTATATGTTGTCCATGGAAGGTCAAGTAGTTGTTGACAAGTGAGGGTTGATACTAGTAGGTAGAGGTTTTATGTCTGTCGATGTTTTTTCACATAAGCTAAATTTGCATTAAACTTGATTTGTTAAGCCAAATTTGATATTTGCGTTAAAATAATTATATAAATTAAATTAAAATTCAAAAATCTACAAGAGCTGGGTTTTTGAGTTCCTTGTGCTCAGAGACATCTAAGAAAAATAAAATTGAAGTTAAAGTAAATATTTGATTTTTAAGGTATATTTTAAATTTTAAATAATTAAAATAATTAAAAAAAATAATAAAAGTCATTAAGATTGAAAAGTGTCCAAAAATGTCACAATTGGTTTCTTGATCACTTAGGAGTAATTAAAACATTTTCCTATTTTTCTAAATAAAGTTATAAATTTTTTAAAGGCTTAAAAATGAATTTTCCATAATTTTGCACTTAAATAACTACAATAAATAGAATATAAATCACAAAAAATATGAAATTTGTTTCTTTGGTTTCCTTGGACTCATAGTGATTTAATAAAAATATATAAATTAATTTTTAACTTTAAAAATATTTTAAATTTAATTAATACTAAAAAACATTAAATAAATTTAATAATTATGGAGTGGGGAACCCTAATTAGGCTAAAGCTAGGCGAAAGCTATGAGTCAATGGACCACTTTCATGAGATAAAACTGGTCCTAATCATTCTTTAACCTAAAAGTGATTAGGTTTTAGGGGTAGTACTTTAACCTAAAAATTGTCCTAATCATTCTAGCCTAGGTGAACGTCCAATAATTTTCCTAAGGACATATAGCTTGTTTTGATTGATTAAATGAATTAACTTTTAAAATCCCTATATTTTTTAGTAAAATAATTATTTAAATTAAATTAAATTTTGAAAAATCACATTTTATACTTTTATATTTTATTTGACCCATGAGTGGGGTACTATAAAAATTTAGAGTTATATTTAATTCATTTGAGTTCTATTTAATAAGTTATGGAGTGGGGAACCTTATGAGCAAAATGCTAATTTTTAACTTTTCTATCTTAATTAAATTATAGGATTGATTAAAGGGTAAATGAGTAATTTTATTTATAATAAACTCTTTTGTATGATTGAAACACAAGGGATTAAATGATAGAATTTTGGAGTTAATTAAATTGAAACACAAGGGATTAAATACCTCACTTTTCTACAATAAAAATATAATTGTAATTTCCCCTAATTATTATAATTTGGGAGTTAATTAAATTAAATGATCCTAAGATGAGGGGTTAGATTTTGGAAGATGATAATTCACTAATTTAAAACCCTTAGTTGATGTTTGAGTGATATATAATCATTGATAAGGATTAAAAATACTATATAATTTGACATCCCTAAAGGTCCTGAATTTATCCACATATAAGTCCTAAGGGCTTAGCACTGAACTAGGCTTATATTTGAATTTGCTTAATGAGGTTTAGGAAAGAAACATAACTACTTGTGAAAATTTTGCAAACACTACATGCCCAGCCTTCATTTTAGGCATAAAATTCTTAATCACCTAATCTTACCCTCAAGGGTACCCATTTATATAACTTTTAAATGAAACATTGAATGATTAATTAAGTACCCCTCTCATGAGATAATTAAAACATCAAGTTTACCGAGCATAGGGTATTTTGATCAGTCATTGGATGATTATCTGAACAATATAATAAGTTCAAATGAACTCGGGATGTTTCAAAAGGTCCTAAAGGTTATTTGAGTTCATGCTTCGAACATCCTTATGATCTTTTGGATGTTTTGAAGGACTAATGAACCTATTATACTTTGCTCAAGAAAATCATCCATTTAAACTTCTTGCAAGACATAACTCATTAAGGGTAGCTTGAACCTTCTTCCCTGATTTTCCTTTCTCGCAATTTCATTTAAATTTTTACAAATTTATATATACATGTTGCAAAAGTTACTCTTTCAGTGGGAGTAGCTAGAATGTGACATGTACGCTTTTATAGTTTAATTTACCCTTGATTTAAAATATTATACATTCTTGGTCGTAAATTTTACTTTACCTGCAAAACAAAAACAAACTTTCCAAAAGCAATCAACCTTTTTCAAAATTAAACTACATTTTTAAAACCAAAATAAAAACAACAATTTCATAACACATCCTTTTGAATTTACGTGAGTCCATCAGATGAGGTAACCCATGGTTGCTAACGAGATCTTCTTGGTTTAAATGGGTCCAACAACTCGTTTAAGCTAAGTAAATTCAAAAGAAAATAGTGGTACCTAAATAAGGGAACTATGAGATTCTAATTGGTGTCGCTCTCATCAACTTAAACCCCCCCAATAATGATTGAATTGGAATTGCCATTTAAACCTTTAAACCTCATACTTTAGGACTGTTACTTCACCAAGGCGCTTAAAGCTAGCGCCATCGACAACACAACAAGGATGCGCAGAAGAACAACTTCAAGAGGGCAAATAGATCTACAACAACACGAGAAACTAAAATAATAATCTCCTTTCATAGAATTAAACAACAACCCACAGGACTTCGTGGTTATTCGCCCAGTGTGACATAAATACACAACTCATCTTTAGGCATTTGCATAATCATGTTGTGCAATCTAAGCCCTAACTCGTTTTAGGATTCTGGGGTTGTCGTTCGTCACGGCCTAAATTCTCCTATCCTCCAAGCTATTTGTATGATTATCTCATACAAATGTAAGCCCTAAATAATAATAATTAGTATGATGAATCATTTAACATTTCTTCTCACAAAAAATTGAAGCCAAACAATAGGATTGCTTGGGAAGTCACCGAGGTTCTCCTCAGGATCCATGATATCCCTAGATCAGGATCTGTGGCATGCCCTAGATCTTCTTCTTTTGGATTCCAAAACAAAATGTTCCAAGTTTGAACCTTTCCCATTTGACACCTCTTTATTCAAATTTTGCAAAGTCCTACCATTTGAAATTCTTGAAGGCATGAGTTTATGATCTAAATTGAGAGGTTTCTTAAGTGACTTTGGTCATGTAATTAACTATAGGGGCTTTCCTTTATAAGAAACTTTAAGAACCCAACATAATATAAACCTTATCTAATCTTCTATATTAGATAGAAGAATTTGTTAGCACATAAAAAATTGTTCGCAGACCAAATGAATATCATAACTCTTTAGTTTATTTAATCGAGCCTCACTAGTAATATCTATCCTTCGGGATAGCTATACTTATTGTGTTATGCTCGATCATTTAAACTATCATTTATACGAAATCAGTTTGGTCTCATATTTAAAAAATAATAAAATATTACTTTTTCAAAGTTAAAACATTATTTTTTTCTAAAATTTCAAATTTATATTATATTATATTATAAACACACACACATGCACACTTTTTCCGCTGACAATCTCTGGCGACTTCGTTGGGGAAGGGTTTCTCTCTCCATTAAGATCATAAAATCTTGTCTTCATACATCGGTAGTGTGTTTATGTCTCTCACGGTCCAAATTACCCTTCTTCCATT